GTGTGTAAGAATAACTCTTTTTCTGTAGTTGAAATGTAAATATGAAGGAACCAATGTGCACATTTGCTCAGAATGTAGAGTTAGTCATTCAAAGGTGAAAATACAGCTCATGACTCAGAAATTATATATTTTAGGAGAACACATTTGAACCCTACATACATGAACACACACATACACATGCTTGAAGTCTCTCTCTTACACACAAACACACATACACAGACACACACACACAGAGTGAGCATAATAAATTTAAAGAAAAGTAAAGCTTCTGATATTTTGTTGAATATCTGAAAACTTCTGTATAGTTTAAAAGCAACAAAGCATTATTCCTGCCAAGCATCTCCAAAGGCTCTCTGCCTCTCCCTAGAACAAAGAAGTAATTTCAGACAGGAATCTAAATTATAGGCTAGAACAAGGAAGTAGGGTTCAGACATGAAAATGACCTTGGGGTAGGACAGGGAAGTAGGCTCAGATACTTTGTTCATCCTGATAAGCACTTAGAAACAGTTATCATGGGAGTGTTCACATAATTAGCTTTAATGCCTTGCTTTTTCTCTTACTATTTGTGTTTATTGTATTGTATATTCCTTGACTATTTGTATCTATTGTATTACTAGACCCTAAACATAGAGCTGAACTTAATACAAGCAGGTAATCAAAACGTTATAAAAGCATAAAGGAGGAGGGGGAAAGGATGGGGGTCCTAGGGAAGGGAAATGGGGATGACATCTGTATTGTAAATAAATAAAATATTCAAAAGGTAAATACAAAAAAACCTACAGTATTATTATAGAAAACCACACATGAGGTGGAGAAATAAATCACATAGGATTTTAATTGACATTATTGTAAATATTGTGTTCTCAGAGCATTTCGAACATATTAAGGTCTAACTAATGTTTGCAAAGGTAGGTGCAATTCTTCTTGATGATGACGCTGTTTATAAAACAGATTCATTTCAGACATAGACACTTTTAATCAAAATAGTTCTAAAAATAATGTTTTTAAAGCACGAAAATTTAAAGAGAGCTGGGTTTTTTTTTTAATGTTAAAATATTTCTTGACTCAACAGTGAACCAGGGATGTGTAAGTAATTCTCAGGAGAGAAGATCAGCCTTATAATAGATCACATATTTCTAATATGAGGAAAAATAGTAATTGTTCAATGATACATAAAAGTATGTTTAATGTAGAAAAATGAACTTTACACTAAAAGACAAATAAAAACCCTGTATATATGGAAATTGCGTAGTAATAAACTAAATGTGAAACAGTGAGGTATTGCCATCACTAAGGTATGAATTTCAAAACAGATTACTTAAAGCCATGTAGGCATGTAGGAAAATGCTGTCCTCCAGCCATGGCATCGGCATTGACTCCTGAGAACAGTGTAGTTAATTGTTATCTCTAAAATATTAATTCAAAAGTCAATCTTTTATATATTTGTATTTGAAGTTAAGAATATGAGAAGACATATGCAACTTAGGGAGAGGTTTGGGGATATCTTGGGATTCATGCAGGTGATTTGGCAGTAGATTTCTATACTTATATGAAATTATCAAATAGAAATGATTCTAAAATCATCTCAATCAATTATTTTAAAAAATAAACAGAGTCTAAGTGATCCATGTTCACCCCTAAGAATATTTAAAAAAAAATGGGAACATTTGAAGGAAAGAAATCCTTAAGCAGGACTAGCAAAGCATTTTCGTAATTTGATTGAAAAAGATACAGGTTAATCTTAAGTGATATGAAATTCATGGACGATTCAAAGCACTCCTAAAACTAAAAGCCTAAATTGTAAACATAAAATCAAAGACAACCACCAAAAAATTGACAAATATATGAAGGATCATTGCCTTTCTGAGGTAATCCTATCAAGTAGACTCGAGTCAGAAATCAGACATTAGGTTAGAACAAAGAATTAATTTCAGGTATGAATCTAAGTCTTAGGCTAGAACAAAGAAGTAATTTCAGGCAGGAATCTAAATATTAGGCAAAGACAAAGAATTTCAGACAGGATTCTAAGTTTTAGGCTAGAACATGAAAGTAGGCTTCAGACATGAAAATACCCTTGTGCTAGGACAGGGAAGTAGGCTCAGATACTTTGTTCATCCTGATAATACCTTAGAAACAGTTATCATAGGAGTGTTCACTTAATTGGGTTTAATGCCTTGCTTTTTCTTTTACCATTTGTGTTTATTGTTTTGCTTCTTCCTTGACTATTTGCATCTATTGTATTGCTAGTTCCTCAACCTAGAACTGACCTTAATACATGCATGTAATTAAAATTGTATAAAAGCATAAAGGAGGAGAGCAGATGGGATAGGGGATTCTAGGGAGGGGAAATGGGGAAAGAGGATGACATGTGTATTGTAAGTAAGTAAAATATCCAATAAAAAATTTTTAAAAATATCTCAAGTTTTATTCACAGACCCTTTCTAGGAAAACAAACCATAAAAAAAAAAATGCTTGATTTTGAGATAAAGGTCGCAGTTTGTGAAGAGACACTCCAACAAATATACTGTACACCTGTGTAGGTATTCTGAGTATATGCAATGTATGTGCAATTGTGTATGAACTTTGTGTGTGTATATGTGTATGTGTGTATCAAAGATATGCAGATCACTGGAGATATATTTTGAGCTTTGAGCTTATTTATTTTAGAGGACAGAGTCAAGTACTGAGCTTTTTAAATCTTTTTTGACACAGTGTCTCTTTTGTTCACTATTAAACAACATTTCACGAACATCTGTTTATTTTGGTCTGAAAATCCCATATCTACATAGAAGCACCTAGTTTTGAGATGCTTGTGCAAAAATACCTAGGTTTGTTTTTTTTTAAGTGTAAGTTTTGATGACCTGATTTCATATCACAAAGCCTGTATCTCAATATCTTTAGACACTGATGCATCATTTCAGACCATTTCCTATATTCTTAAAACTGTCATTCATATCTAACTTTATCATGTGTGATGATTAGTGTTGATAGTCAATGGAATTTTATTTAGAAGTATATCTATGACAAAGGATTCTGGGCACAGCTCTGACGGAATATTTAATGTTATTAGTTTCTGTCTATGCTTAAGTAACTGATGCGGGCAAACTAATGTTATAACTGAGCTGTACTATTCCTTAGGCATGGTTCCTGGATGTATAAAAGAAGAAGCTCACTGAATATGAACATTCATCATCTGCTTCTCAACTAGGAGGACGACTTCACAAGCTACAAACTCCTCACATCAGTACTGCAGTATGATGAATCCCTGAGCCCTCAAATAATGAGATATTTTTCCTAATGTAAGTGATTAGAGTACATTTTCACGGAAATAGGAATAAAAAAAGTGTTGCTACAATGCACATGAGCAAATCTGATGTTATTGTACTACTACATCAGTAATTCTCAGCCATGGGGTCTGTTTTATGGTGAGAATATAGAAGTGGTCAGAAAATCCCCCAATGTTCATTTCTTGAGCAGTTCTTAGAATGCCATTTTGACTGGAAAATTGATTGAAAAACTAATAATTGATTCTAGTGGATCTGTCACATGAATACAACGCCTGAGTAACAGTGGTAGAGAAGACTACTGAAAAAGCTTATAAGACTATCAAGAATCATGAATCAGGCACATTGGAGTTTAAGCAATAAAATAATTTAATAACCTTTATTATAATAGAGAAGAATATGCAATACATACCATAAAATAAATATAGTCAATGAAACTACTTGTAACTAATAATATGGTTAAATAGAAAACTGAAGTTGTTTCTTGTAATAATTTCTTCTGTTGTGATAAACTGAGAGGAAGTAGGGAACACAGAAATAGTATGATTGGAATCGTCTTCAGTCATGAAAAAGTTTTTGTATTAGAACATTATATGTTGAAGTTGTTCCATAGTCTCCTGCTAAATGAAACATAAAATGTCATCGTTAGACAAACATTCTCAAATAATAGATTCACCCCACTTCAGACTAGTATTTCAATGTATTTTCTGAAATCAACAGAATTACTTCAGTTAACAGTATATCTAATTTTGAATGATGTTACCTCTTAAACCAGGTATGTATGTATAAATAGTGGTCAGCATGTATACATATGTATATATACATATATTCATATATAGTTTAATTAAAGTGTTTAAAAAACTTTCCCATACTCTAATATAATGATATGTCCCAATGCTTCTCTGATATTTACAAATTTATGATGTCTGGGAATGATATCAGCCTTACATTCATTGATGACTATAAAACTTTTCTTTCATGTAAGACATTCCTCCTAAGAAGGAACAGATGAAATCTTTAGTTATTCAGTATTAGCATTTGGGGTTTTCCCACTGTGGATATCTATAGCTTTTTTCATATCAGGTTGTTGTAGATAATCCAGACTTGTATTTTCATGCTAATTCCACTTTCCTGGGAGGGGCTGCAGAGGAGTGAATCAGTACACAGGTGAATTCTATTGAACCTTCTGCCCACTGTGTTTTGTAAAATAAAGGCTAGAGCCAGTGATTGGACAAAGAAGGGGAGGTGGAGAAATAAAGGTTGCTGGGAAGAGAGAGAGACAGAGAAAGAGAGAAAGAGAGAGAGAGAAAGAGAGAGGGGGAGTGAGGGAGTGAGGGAGAGAGAGAGAGAGAGAGGGAGGGAGAGAGAGAGAGAGGAGAGAGAGAGAGAGAGAGAGAGAGAGAGAGAGAGAGAGAGAGAGAGAGAGGGAGAGATGGATGGAGGGAGGGTGAGAAAGGACAATGGAGGAGGAAGGCAATGTTAAAGAGGACGAAGATGGAGAAGGAAGACAACGGAGGAGCAGAAGGTGAAAGGACGAATGTGTGACTTGGAAGACCTGCAAGTTATAAGGGTCTCATAGCTGGAGAATAGAGTAGTGAAGTGGTGAATCTGCCCAATCTAGGCTTGCATAATATATTCATATTTATTGAGTTGTGTTTGACTGGTCTTATTTGGATTGGAGATTTACAGCAACATCAGGTGACTTACCAGCAGTATTTAGTGAGATCTGTATGTCATTAGACCTCTTTGATTTTCTTTATAAATTGTACTCTCATCATCTCCAAATATTTCTTAATAGTTGTCAATCATGATTTGTATAATAGTCATCTGTAACACCACTAGGCAAAAACAAGATCCTCTGTCATTTCTCATAGTTGACAAAATTGAAATCAATAAAAAAATTGAAATCTAAAATAATGAGGAAAATAACAGCTACTACAAGCAGATATGAACCTTTGAAATGAAGTCTCTGTCTGAAATGGACACTCTAAGTTCTTTGCAACTTTCTTAACATAGTTAAAATTTCACACATATTGCAAAGAGCAGAGGAACTACTAAACAAAGTAACATGTTAGAACTGATGTGCTGCCAGAATACCTGTGAGTGAATCAAATTAATGAGTTCAAAGGTTTCTTGAATTGGTGATTTTTTGCAGGGTGTGGGGAGGAAGTAGAGTTTCCTTATGATGGTTTGAATGGGATGCCGGTCTAATTCCAGGCATCACAATATATGATACATCTTTGTTTTAACTTTTCGGTTGTTTAAGTAGCTTGACTTTCCTGAAGGATGTCATTAGTTTGAATTTAAAAATACAGAATCCAGGTGCCATTTCCATTGTACTCTCCGTGCTTCCTGTTTGCTGCCTAAAATGAGAGCCACCAGGTCTCTGCTTCTTGTTTGGTTGTCCTTCCTTCCTTCAGCCATGCTCCTCTCTCACGACTTTGAAGGACTGTGATCTCTCTACATCTCTAAGTCCCAAATAAACATTTGCTTTTATAAGTTTCCTTAGTACTGATGTTTTATTAAAGCAATAAAAAAATGACTAAGAGAAGAAGGTGATGAGAAGAGGGATCTTAGTTGAGAAAAAGCCTAGACCAAATTGTCTTAGTGTGTAAGTAAGTCTATGGATATTGTCGTGATTAACAATGGAAGTTGTAGGGCCCAGATTTCCCAGCTGATAACACCCTTGAACAAATAGTCAAAAAAGATATGTGCTGCAGGACAGGAGGGATAACTCTTACAGTGCTTCTACTTTAGTTCTGGCCTCCAGGTTCCTGTCCTGCTTCAGTTTGGGCCCTGACATTTCTCAGTAGTGATAACTAGAAATATATCACGAAGTGTAACCTGTCCTACATAAGTTGCTTTTCATTAGTGTTTTATCATAGCAAAAGTAGCAAATTAAGCCACTTTCTAAACTGAACTATCCGACTCCATCATATGTAATATCACCATGACTTCCTTCCTGTAGTTCTTATTTCTGGAAACTACTAATTAAAATATACCCTTGCTTTCTTTTCTGATTATTGTCTTTTTTTGTTGTCTGTCTTTTTACCTTTTCAAAATGTATGCTTTTCATCAACGAAAATCAATGTGAATTTCTTATCATCCAATGCAATAATACTCATTTTTCAGTACTTCCATATCTGGCCTCTCTCCTGGAAACTTTCTCAAAAATTTCAAAATAATTTAAAATTAAATAAAGTTTTAAATTAAAATTAAGCTTATGGAGGAGAGGGTTGTGATCATGACACTTAGAGGACACTATTGCAATCATCAGAATATGAAGTAAATAAAAAATGTCATGAGAAATATAAATGAGTTAATCGTGAAATTAAGAGCTCTTGAAAACCTGAAATACATAAAGCTGTAACTGAAAGAATGCAAACACACTCTATTCTTTTTTTATATATGTATGAGTTGGTGGTAAAATAATAGAAACTATATTATATAACATACACTACATTTTAATCATTATTCATATCTCATATATATGTGTGTATATAAACATATATATATATATATATATATATACATGCCATGTGCTTTTATATGATCAGCAGTGCAGTTGATGTGAATATTGCTTAGTAATAATAATAGTCTTAGAACTATGAATCACAACTATCATTTGCTCCCAACTATAGCTACAATAGAAAACAAGCAAACAAAGCACTAGATACTTGAGATATTTTTTCAATTTTGCTGTAGTTTTCTTGGACTATCATTATATATGAAGCATATGGTTGGTTAAAACATCAATATATAAAATCAATATCTGAAAAGATATGGAAAAAAGGAAAGAAAAAACAAAAAAGAAATTATTCATTTCCTTCAAACTATATTAATAATCTCCCTTCTCAATCCCTCCTGAAATACATCAATGCATCTACCACTCCAGAAGAATGCAATCCGAGGGTGTCCTTTAACATCCCTGTCCTTTCTGAGTCATTCCCAATTCCTGGACCACAATAAGGGCTTTGTTCCCAAAGGGAAAAATCAGATCCCCTTACCTTCTTTGAGAGGTCACTCTCAAATAATGAGTTCTTTCAAGTCGGATCCCACAGCACACGAGGGGCTATGCAGACAGATAAGCTGTAGATGTCTAGATGATTCTTGGAAGAGGTTTTAATTTTTAATAATATACAGATAAAGTGTTTGAGCAAGAGGTAGTTTGCTTTTGGCATCTTCAGTAGAGTACTATAAATAGAAAATGAGAATTTTATTGTTCATTGTATTACAAGTAATATTATTTAGAAAACTTTAAACACAAAGACAAAAGTGAGTAAAATTTTTATAGGCCAGCTCATAGTATAATCAGAATTCAAGAGACGTTAGAATACACAGCTATAGTATTGCCTAAAATATTTTCTGAAAATCACTTCTCCCTATAGAATTCTGGATTTTTTTTTGAAAATTTTGCATGAATTTCTGTGTACTACATGTATAACTGCTACCCACAGAACTCACAGGAAGGTGTCAGGTTCTCTGGAAATAGAATAATTAAGATTTTTAAGGACCATATGTGTTCTGTGTATAGAAACATAGTGTTGTTAAACAGTGAACGATCTTTCCAGTCACCGTTGGGACACATTTAATATCTAGTATAGTAAGAATCCATGTAACACACCTATGACTCTCTGGGACATAAGTAGAAGAAAGCATACTAGGGACCCTAAACAATGCAGTTATAAAAGCTTCTTATATAGGTAAGGTAAGGCAGAGATGCTGGAATACTGGGTAGAAATGGGAACTCAAAGGTCCTGTTAACTAAGAAATTATTCTATGGAGTAGCATACAGGAAAATGATTCAAAGAAGTCAAAGCTAAACCTGACCCAGACTTCTCTAAGTAGATATTTTTCAGAAAGATAAACTCAGTAATAGATTCATGTTCTAATCAATGACATATACTTAACAGGTGAAATATTCACAATACCATGGTAATAATTTTAGGATGCAAATAACACACAGGTATTAAACACACATGCTTTTTTAATTTGTCTCACATAGGAACTCAAGGTCTAGGCTGACGTGCACACAACTGTGCAGCATAGGCTGTTTTCCAAACCATGACAGTTACGATGTAGAAGACTCCCAAATGGTGGGATTACAGACATGGTGCAACACTCTTGCTTGAGAAATGCATCTGTTTATAAAGTGAGTTTACATGTCTGAGCAAAGAGAACCTCTCAGGAATAGGACATCATGCCAGTTTATAATCCTGTAAATACAAGCTATATACCTTCAAAATGGATTGCTTGTATCTTAGAGCAGGTCTCCAAGATCTTACTCTATCATTACCATTTTATAGCAGAAATTTTTCCAAGCACAGACTCTTCATCTGGGACACTAAACCAATTTTCATATAAATCAGAAGAAAGCAAGCTTCCTTGTATATTGCTAATAAAATCCGTTTTTCAATGAAAAAAGAAAACAAGAAAAAATGGTCAATGTACTTTGTAGAAAGTATTTGGGAAACATTTTCGTTTAAAAATAGCAGTTAAACCAATGATTCTCAACTTGTATGTCACAATCCTTTTGGGAATCACATATCATATATCCAGCATATCACATATTCCATATATTACACATTATAATTCATGACAGTAGCAAAATGCCACTTATGAAATAACAGCAAAATGGTGTCATGGTTAGGGATAACCATAGTATGATGATCAATATTAGTGTCACAGGACTGGTTGAGACCCTACTTTCTTAAGAACTTCCCAACCTGACACCTACTCAGGATCTTGGCTCAGAAGTGGAACCTACAGGCAGGAGTTTATGTGTTCTTACCTAAGACTAGAATCAAAGAAGCAGAGTTCTGGATCCAGTATCAATGAAATAAAGCTACTGTCTGTTCAAACTGCCTCGCATGGCTTCCAGTCCACACTACTACCTGCAATCAGAGATCTGCACTCCACTTCATGGCTTAAAGTTCTGTCCATCTCAAAGGAGGCCAGCTCTTATGTGGGACATCCAAACAAGAGCATATCATAATTGCTCTCTGAGAGGCTTCAACCAGCAGCTGACTGAATCAGATAAGGAGACCCACAGCCAAACATTGAATGGAGCTAAGGGACTCTTATGAAAGAGTTGAGGAAATGATTCAGGGTCCTGAAGGAGATAGAGACTTCACAGGAAGACCAACAGAGTCAACTAACCTATACCATTGGGTGCTATCAAGGACTGATCACCAAACAAATAGCATACAGAATCTGCATCATGACCAATAGCACATATGTAGCAACTGTGCAGATCAGTCTCCATGTGAGTCCCTCAACATGTTGAATGAAGGACATCCCTAAAGCTGCTGACTATCTGTAGAAACACTTCACAGACTGGCTTCAGTTGGAGAAGATGTGCTAACACTGAACATTTGATGCACAAGGTTGTGAAGATAATCTAGGGGCCCTAACCTGCTCAGAGGAGAAGAGACTCTGTGAAGGGTGACTAGGTAGGGGGCAGCATTCAAGATTTAAAATGAATGAATGAATGAATGAATGAATGAATGAATGAATAGAAGTAATAACCATAATAATGAAAACAGTTTAAAAAAAAGAAAAGAAACAAAAAACAGTAACTATAAAAGAAACCAACAAAACAAACAAAAACCAAAGTGTCTTCCTGAAAATAATCAACCATCAAAAAATGGCAGGGCCAGAAAATGCCTAATTCTGATTGTATAATTTGGTGAACCAGGACTTTCAGTTTACAAAGAGTAAAGTTGAAATATGAATGTACAACACTGCTTAAGGCTCACCTGGAACAGTGGGGAACTTTCTTACTTGAGCACCGTTTTACACGTGAGAAGGTCTCACACTTTTACATACATACCTTAAAATGTGTAAATATTCAAATAATTAAATTAATTGTAAGCAGCAGCTTGCTAGATGGACAGAAAAGTGTCTTTGTTATTGAAATCCCACAATTCACTTTCATGTTGTACCAAGGAGAACAAATCAGAAAAATGGAAGATTCCCAGGTATTCCTGTGCCTTTAAATTTCTCTGAATCACTACTTCTTACAGTTATTGTGTATCTTCACTTTCCTTCCCACGATGAGAGCAATGAGAGCCAGACCCACTTGGCAAGTTTGAGGGCTGAGGAGGGATCATTCCATGTCTTGGCTTAACGTTATTAAGCGTGCCTACTCTCAGAGCTTTCTTTTCTCTTGATGTCTGGGGCCATAGCTCCACAGTCTACTGAGAGGCAAACTCAGATGATGGCCCAAATAAAAATAACTCAATGACATTTTCTCCAGAGTTACTACTGCTCACTGCTAAGTTAAGCATGGCAGACTATTTTGAAATAGTTTAGGTTAGGCTAATTATTGATCATTTGACAAGGGGTTAGGATGGCAATACCTGGCAAAAGTGAAAGTTCTGCTTTTTTGGTAAATAAGGAAAACAGTTTCATCTTCAACTGGAGAGGGGGCAACATCCAACTCTCACATGACCTATTATAATTCTGCGGTGGTCTATTTTGTACTGTCTTTTATTTATGAGGAATAGTGATTTTGGCAAGTATGATTTAAGACAAGTATTTTGTAAAACAGACTTTTACCACAATTATTACTTGTTCTGCTATTAATTCACATGATATAGTTAGTAGGTGAAGTGGGAACATATGTCATGTCAAAACAAACCCCTCCTGATATATGGTGAACACAGAAGTTGTTCACCTGTGACTTTGTGATCAGTCTTTGGGCTTGTCAGAATTTTACCTACCGAGCCTCTTAACAGGATGTCATGTGTCCATAGTTCAAGGAAACTGTCATCATCATGTAATCTCAAGGCCAGAAAATACATGTGCATTCTAGAGGGATGGTGAATGTTGGTGATGCAAAAACCTTCCTTGCCTTTAAAACCAAAGCTATAATGAGCATGGATTCTTCATTTCCAGTTAATCTGTTATTCAGTGTTAATCTTATCCCTAAGGGACCAGTGTGATTTTTCTGATAAGAATCTGAATATTTGATCTGAATCTTATCCCTTTTCTGCAATTATGGATATCATATCCTGTGTGGGATAAGGACAAGCTTCTATTATTACAGATCCAATCAGCTGAAGCACAAATATGTCTTTTAAGGTGAACCGGAGCCATGGCAATTATGGATGAAGAGAGCTAGCTGCAACTGAGAGGAAAGAAGAAGTCACTGAATATTTTTCTTTTTTAGCTTCCAAATAAATTTTCTGCCCTAATCCATTTTTCCCAGTTTACAACATCAAGGTCTTCTTGGAATCAGATTATTCTCGTGATTGAATCACACTTCTGTCCACCAAAGCGTTTTGGTGAATGGTCCTCTCTTACTTTTTCGTTTCTTCCTTGAATATCTTTCTCAAGCATGACATTCTATGCTACTATTGGTATATTTCTCTTTCAAAGACCAAATCATTATTATATTTTCTGTCTTTCCTGGCTTCTATTATTAATCCTAACATTAGTGATTTAAGAAAACTTTCTTTATTCACTCTACTTCTGAGACTTTTATTTCCTTCTTGTGTGACTTATTTTCAATTATCTATATCAAAAGATACTGTCACATTTAAGAACCCAAGCAAATTTCTATTGTTCTGTCAGGGTTTCGCTCTGTTAATACAGCCATACACAGATTTAGTCCATATATTCTTTATTTCAAATTTATTACCTGACTCAGGCATTGATGACAGAATATTCTGCTCTAAAATAACTAAAGAATGAGCAGTAATTCTCATGTGTCTAACATAATAAACCTGTTCACATGCAGCATACATTCCTGGCACAGGAATCATGCTAAAATAGATGCTGGAAAGTAAATGAATATTTCCAATGAAATATGGTAGCATTTTTAAAATACGCTAACGCATATCAGGTGGCAATTATATATAGTCCATAAGATAAAAGCATCAATACATAACAAAGAACAATGTGTATATCTAATTCATTGATAATATCAAAAAAGGTATACAGATATTTTTACCAACTATATTGAGTAAACACAGAGGCAATGATATTAAGGTAAACTCTAGCACAATGTGGAGTCATAATGAAGCAGAAAGAATTGACAGTTGGAGAATCAGTAGGGCACTTCCAAAGATCCATTTAGTCCAACAGGCTGGTGAGTTCAGGACTTTGCTGAAATCAGTACAAAACATAGGAACACTATTTGCTTTCTCTCTATTTCATTTTTCTTTAAATTAGAATACTCAACTTAAAGTGAGATTTACTTCTGTTTTAAAAGTATATTATCTTCATGAATAGGTTATCTATACATTCAGCAGTTTCATGAAATAATTTACTTAAAACAAAAGTTCCCTGAAATTATGTGAAATAGGACAGCTATAGAAACTCAAAATGAAACTAACAAGTATAGGAGCAGGCAGCATTCTGTCCAAGCAAACAATGAGTGGCAATTTATGAAATACTTGGTCTTTTATTGATGCTAATGGACTTGGAGAAGGTACTTGTTGGCTTGTAAACTCATTGCCTTCTTGTGTCTTTGAATATAATAAAGAAGGGAAATTATTATTTGTTCTAATTGAATTCACTTAGCCTTTACATACTATTCACATTTTATATGCTGCATGCCTTATGCATCACCTAAATACACAGAAAATAACTAATCAGCATTCTAACATTATAATAATGGCATTGCTTCATAAGACACTGGATATCTAGTTGTATATGGCCCATGCTTCTGGTATAAAACATAAATTCTTGGTTTGCCTTAAAATCTATGCATATAGGTATTTAAGTCAAGCAATAAAATGCTACAAATCTTGTAGTCTATCTATGTGATTTTTCTGACTGAACAGCCATGGCCAGCTGTAAATGAACAGCAGTATCTGCACTTCAGAACACAACTTGCCTGACTGAACTTCTATTACAGCCCTTGGTTTCCATCCTGAACCTGACCTGGGATTTCAAATCTGAGATTATAGTGTCTGTCTCCCATATGGGTATATTATGCTATATATTAAGATACACATAAGAGAAAAGAATAGTGGTACATGCCTTTATTCCTAGATTTCAGAAGCAGAGTCAAGAGGATCTCTGTGAGTTTGAGGTCAATCTGGTATACAAAGGAAATTTAAAGACAGCTAGAGCTTTTAAGTAGAGAATATCCAATTTGATAATGAATTGCTGTTCTAGGTGTTATACACATATAAATTAATACTCAACATATCAAACGGTCATACCCTTAATTAATTAATTAATTAATCTCATTTCTGGGATTTACCTCTTAAATAAATTCAGGACCAATGGAAAGAGGTACCAAATTTGGAGGCAATTTCTAACAATAGTAAATTATCGATAACAAACAGGTGAAGTTTCCCTTCACATGGTTTTGCAAATTCTCCATTGCTGTTTGGTATAAATGATATTTTCATTGCTAAATTATTCTAACTGTAGAGTCATGGTAACAGAACATCTATACACACCTATAATGCTCTCAGAGAGAAGAGGATCAGCTGGACTCCTTGACAGTGTGTAATTGCCAGTGGTGCATGTCTTCCCAGTGAGTCTACTGCTGAGTCCATGTTCCATTTCCTTCATGTTCCTGATGTTAGATGAAGTATTCTGGAAACATGAGGGCTTTGCTCCATGTGGATGAAAAAGTGATGTTTCACACCAAACTGAAACCAATTCTATTCCAAAGTTTTTGGAGAGTTTTCAGTCACAAATGTTACCAGAGAAATCTGGTAAAATTGGTGGCAAAATTGGGACAAACACAGAGGGTCTCTCTAATTTTGTATGTTTGCAAATCACACTTTACTTATGAGTCTTGGAGGGTAAAATATGTAGTTGAAAATTCTGAAAAAAATGTCAGTGATTATAAAATTAAGGGAGTATTATTTATTAGATGATTGTGAGATGAGATGTCCAACTGTGATCATCACAGTTCAGCAGTATATAACAGGATGATTTTCATTTTTCACACTGTGATGCCCAGTATGTGATACATACTGTCCACTTGAATAACTTTGGTTGCCGTTTGATAAATTCATGGCTTGCATATTTGTAAGGATGCTTATAGAAAGGCACTACTAAGGAGGGAATGTGACCTCTGAATATGGGCACAATCCTACTGAAATTTCCCATGGCTGACTAAAAAAAAGAGACAGACAAACCCATCTGAGCAGTAACAATCATATGTCTCTGATGGCTCACTGGAGATGCAGTGTTAACAGCTTGATCCTCAGGTGTATTCTGTTGGGAGGTATTTGAAATAATGCCTATTTGGAGGCAACTAGATAGTTATGGATCTTCAATGGCATGTTCTTTGGAATTCTGTTATTTCCTTCTGTATTTAATCCTATACAATATGAGGAATATTTCTTTGTATATTTAATCTTATATAATATGAGGAATGTTTTTTTCTCAATTAGGCTGTCCTACAAAATATTCCTTACAAGTTCAAAGGCAATTGATCAATTAATAATGAATTAGAAATGCAAATACTGAGAGTCAAAATAACCCTTTGATCCCAATATTGTAGAAGCTTTGGTATTTTATTATACTATTTGAAAGGCAGCTACCATAGAAAAGTGTACTCTATAATTTCTCTAACCAACCATAACCAGCAACAAGAGGCCAGGGGTATATTTAATCACATTAATCAGGTGTCATGATGACAATATCTGATAAAAATAATCCAAATTTAATTGCCTTTGTTATGTTGAGGAAACCACCTTGAAAAAAAAGTAGAATTTCACATATTCTATACTGATTACATCAAAATTCAGTCTTGATTGCTGACCCCAGTACCAAGGATTTTTTTTAAATCATTTCACGGCAGTTTTTCTCAATGGGGTAGTCTAAGGATATTCTAAATCACAATTGTCAAAAGACTCAAATTGCCAGTGAGCTCAAATACCCATTTATACTTTACTTACTTAAAATGCACCAATGACTCTTCTTCTCCAGAACACCATTTAAAGGTGTACTTATTCTACAAAATGAAATGAAACCAAAAACAATACCATCAACACAACAACAAAATAACACAGACTCTCAGGATAATCCTGTATTCCTGTATCATTATAAAGGCTTATTAAAGCTAGGAATAAAGTTCATGTCTAATTACCTTTTAGGTAATATCATTTGGCAGGACATTATCGCAGTAGCTAGGAAGGCATAAAACCTATGGTGCTATCCCAACAGACAAATGGTAAGATGACATTTGGTTGACAGAAGAATTTCTTGCAATTTTATGCAATGTTTTAAAAAGTTGTCACAGAAGAGCAGCATTTGGTTGTGGGAGATTTTCTAAACGACTGAACAAAGAGACAGCTATTTTAAACCAAGTTTACTCAATTTTTAAATATGAAGAAGGGGGACAAAGTAATTGTATGTGTATATGAATAAAAAGAATGTAACAATACATACTTGAAATATTGCTTTAAATGTTTCCCCAGATTCAGGGAAAAATGACAAATTTAACTGGAATACAAAGCTGAGGTTATATGCATGGCCCACTGTGACTGCCCAAGTCATACTTGTGTTTGAAAGTGTTTCCATGTTTGTAAACAACTGATAGCTTTTACTGTCAGTCAGTATGTTTAGTGAATATTTCTGACATATAATTACTAATGTGGATAAGCAAATATTACTTCTATTGTGTTGATGTTGTTCACACAATTTACCATTCATTACCTCTGCACTGCTACTGATTTCTCTTTGTCATTGGCCGTTTGAGATACAGCAAACCACTCTATAATTGAGAAGTCAGCAGACTTCCTTTGATAGTTCCAAGAAATACCTTAGAAAGAAAAAATATTTTGCAGGAAAAAATAAGTTATGGGTATTACTTAAAACATAGTCAACACTAAAATTTAGTTTAGTTCCAACATTCTTCACGGCTCCCAAATTTCCCCCAGTTAGAAAGTTTACTAATATATAGGCCCAGAAATCTTTGTCAATCAAAACCGCAAAACTAAGAGCAGATTTTCAGATATGGTGGGATTGCAGAAAAATCTTTTCTTAGCTCAACATGACTCTAGTGGACAACTGAGCAAACTAGCAGATATAAGAGTTTACTGCCCCAGATCATATACTATTTTTCAGTGAAAGAAATATACAATTATAGTAACTACAGCAATGACAACCATAGTAAGTTATTATCTGATTTCTGAGGTGCAGGAAATCATGACTATTATTCAAGCATGAGATCATGGCTCTTAGAGAATGTTTTATCACCATTTTACTAAACAAGCATGATTTTCAACTCTGTTCTAAATATTTAAGTTAGTATTTATGGATAATATAGCTTTTACCCGTACATCAAAGAAGGTCCTCTTGCCAAAGGATAGAGACTATTACAGAAAACCACAGCTATCTAAGGTGCAGAAAACAAAACATCCTGTGGCTCCAACAGCCACTGTGTGTATATTGCATACTAACTCCTGAACCTTTGTCTCCAAACATTGGTTAAAAGGGTCAGAACGATTGTGCACCAGAAGATCAGGAAATCTGCTTTGAGAATGGACCTCCTAGATGTGTGATGAAGGCTTCACTTTTGATAGAACAACAATATAATATGCTTGTTAAAACAATTTCTGAAGATATCATCATCCACACTTGTAACACTAACTGGGAATGAGTAATTCTTGTGAAGACAAACTTCTAGACGAAGAACTACATGCACATAAATACTACAGGGAGTGAGAAAATATCAGTTCTCCAAAGGGACCCTATAATTTGTAAGCCAGTAAAGGTTGGCTATCTTAGATAAATTCCATATACTATTACAGACAATTTGACTCATCAGGTTGTTTGCACATATTTGTGGAATCATTTTATCTATATAATAACAGTAAATGAGAACAGGCTATGTATTTTAGCAGAAGTGGGAGATGCAGAAATACAAACTTAGAGCAAAGGAACCTTGGAACTTACCAGATTTGTTTCATAAGTATCTACTCTCACTCAATGGAATTCATGATAAAGGAAACTACTCATGTGGACGCATAGGAATCCTGATGGTAGATGACATAAGCATGTTCCATACCTTTAAATTTCACACCACTACATGCACAGATTGATGTTTTATATTCACCTCTTCCCCAGAATCCAACTTTTCCATTAGTGTTTTGCACAATGTCTAATTGTGAGATATGATGAATATGCTCTCTGTTGTGGGTCCTTCTTCTATGAGGGACAGGATGTCCTGAGAGGAAGAAAGAGAAATACTTGTCACATGTCATGCAGCACAGACGACTATTTGCTCATAAGATCTAGACCAATGGTGTGCACAAATGCAGTGCAAGGGCTGTCATGGACAAAGAAGACCTCAAACAGATTTTGTGCCTCAATACTTTGTTGCTCACATATCTCCCTAATGTTAACCCTGAAAGATCAGGCAGCACATATTTTTTAATCAGATTTTTTTTTAAAAAGAGCCAGAAATGAACCATGTGAGATATACCAGAATTGCTGTGTGCACTTTGCTGTCATTACAAATGGAACTCAGCTCTTTTCTAAAGAGATTTCCTCT